CTCTCTCTCTCTCTCTCTCTCTCTCTCTCTCTCTCTCTCTCTCTCTCTCTCCCTCTCTCTCTCTGCTATCCCTCTGTCCTTTTTTTTCATCTCCACTCTCCTTTATCCTTACTCTCAGTCTTGTCTCTTCACATCCCTCCATCTCAACAAACCTCTCCTCCGTAACATATTTCCCTCTCCTTCTCTCTACCTCTCTCTCTCTCCCTCTCTGTCTCTCCCTTCCCCCTTTCTCTCCCACTCTCTCTTCCTCCCTCTCTCGTTCTCCCTCTCTCCCTTTCTCACCTGCACAGATCGATAGTAGGTCCCCGTCTGTAAGAGCGTCGCCAGACCCTGTATGATATTCGCTACACTGAGGAACACAAGTAACAGGCGGCTGGTGGTTCGAATCTCTTTCATCGTCACATAGCAGGAGATGATGGCCAGGCTTCCGGACACACTAAGGAATGACGTCACATTGCTGATCATGACGAAAGCCAGGTCTAGTGACGTCATGTTCTCATGAACTGGATACACACTAGAATTTTGCACCATTTTGAGATCAAGCTTTCGAAACAAAAATGCTAATATTATTTTTTTAAATGATGACAGCAACAGCAAATGCCGTCGCTTGTCTAGATGAGTGTGTACACGTCAACAGCTGATACCCACTAGAACCTCACACTCGAGAGAATACCGCTAATAGGGAACTCTGTCAAGACAGAAAAATATAATACAGTATATCCCGAGGTGTACTATCCTGAAGTGTACCCCGAACAGCTCACACAGAACAAAGCACAGAGCACCTCCTTGGGGGAACCAACTAAGGTGTAGCCGGGAGCTGAACGAAGACGTGGAGGACACCTCTCAACACTTTCACCTATCTTCTACCTCAGCCAGCTGTAGTGTGAGATGACAGCATCATCCACCGATCCAGCGACGCAGAATCCCAGCGATGACACACAGCAACCGGTTGTGCTCCCTCCAGCGTGCACAACACAGACACAAGACGCCTTTCCCTATCCCCTGATCGGGTCGCTTTATCTGAACCTGGGTATAACCCGCATACCGATAAGTGATCTTTGCCCTGCTACTTCGACCCTTGCTCTAATCAGCTGGGGCAAGTGATTGTGCCTATAGATGAACACTTACCTCATGGATCACGTGTCACTGTCAGGGTAGGTTTAACCCCTTGTCTATCACTGGTGCGTGTGCTGCTCAAACAATGTAATGAGAGTTCGACGACATACCCGAGATATTGGTCATACACTTACCCATCCACCCCTGTTGTGTGTGTGTGTGTGTGTGTGTGTGTGTGTGTA